GGTAGAAAAAGGGTAAGATGAGTACTGTGAAAGTAGTGAACTATGCCATACAGTTGGGTGATGGTAGTTTGAAGTCAGAAGTCAACTGCCGGTTAATAGACTTTTTTGCGTATGAACATATGTTGCCCAGAGTGTACCACGTGGAGGTAAGTCCATCGCACACCCCATTTGCCAACTACATCTTTCGTCTATAACTTAATCGAATTGCGGTTTTCAAATGTCAGAAGAAAGGCTAGTTTCGTTTGCTTGTTGTACAATATGATTGTAAGATGGTGTTGATGAAATGGGATTTAAATGTTTGATGCTTACGTGACTCGAAGAAAAATCTCAACAACTTCTCTAAAATATCTCTGTTTAATGTGGCTTATAAGGGAAAAATATGGGTTTTACATCGCATAACACTTCAATACATGCATTTAAAAATATATGTAATGCTAATCGGTCACTTTATTAATATAATTAAAACAATATAATTAGGGCGTTTTATAGTGAGCGAGTTTAGTGTTAAGTAGCTCTGATTCTAAGTAAGGCTTCTTTTGTAGTCTAATTAAATTGCAGTGAGTGTCTTCTCCTAGACCTAATGAATTTCTTAAAAGCTAACAGAAAATAGTACCTTCTCCAAGTGAAAGTAACAGATTTTTTGAGCCACATATATACTGAACAATTGGGACCGTAAATGAGAAGGATGGGGATGGAGGACAAGTTTGTAGAACTGGTGGAATCGGGGGTGATGGGGGGGGGTGGGGAATGCTGGTCAACTCTTCTCTGTAGGAGATAGGAGGTAATCATTAAAAGTCTTAAACATAATTGGGCGGTTCAAAGACTAAGACCATTCTGATTAGCGGGCAAGATAGCTCTTGTTTATCTTAAAGGCAGCGATGCGTGTCACTTATAAAACTTTCATTTAGTTTTTGTAAACTAATTGATTGAAACCTCAAAAGTCTATCATCTACATACTATAAAGAGGACATTGATCTTCTCACTAAATGGCATTTGACTGATAAAATTGATCACGTGTGCAGAATAATACCTTGGCATGAAGCCATTTCGTAATATTAATATGACCCTTTTTCCTCTATAGGTTGTCGTAACCGATCCTATTCTATTCAATTATTTATTAATAGAAGCACCAAATCTGTCGAACTGACAAGTTTAAAAAGAGGCACCACGTTTCGCAATACGCAGGTCGATCTATTTTATGGATGGGGTTTGCGACAGACCTACCTCCACGTGGTGCACCCTAGCAACGTATACTCATATGGCAAAAAAGTCTATTAACCGGCGGTTGACTTCTCACTTCAAACTATCATCACCTCACTGCATGTCATATTCACCACTTCTACAGTACTCACCTTACCTTTTTCTCTACCTTTGTGTCTGTCTGTCTCTTTTGCATCTGAGAGTCATTCTTCTGTTCTCCACCCCTCGACTTCCTGCCACTTTGATAAACCTTCCCTCTGTGAAGTCCGAAGTTAGCTAAATGGCTAAATGGCCTGACATTTGAAATAAATAAATATTTTATGCATTATTTTGAACTCTAGTGCAAATAATTTTTTTCGAGTAAAAAGGTATGAAAATTTTATAAATAAGGAATCTTTTCTATAAAAAAATTAGTTTTAAAGAAAATATCAGTTCTTAATAATAGCAAATATAAAACCTATTGTTCAAAGGGTCGTGGTTACGTCATTATCATTGACACAGTAATTCAGAACAACATGGGGCAAAGAAGACCTTCAGGTGAAAGTTTTGTTTCCCTTCTTATTGAAGAAATGCAACAATTTATCTGCAACTCCGGTTTAGTAAATTGGTTGGCTACGCAAGTTGGTCTTTAATACGGTAGAAAAAAGAGTGGTTATTTCCAGAGACAAGGATGGAAAAGCCGCAGTTTAGTGCCCAGAGAACGAATTACGTCCTTAATGTTTCCATGATGCCTGTTGGGTGAAATGAAAAATTTGAATTAGGGATCAGGTCGTGCTATCGGTGGCCCACATCCTTCCTGGGCATCTAGCTCAAACTAATATCATCCACCAGATGCACAATTTGAACCCAATTGTCGTAGCATAAGTCAAAATTGATACTAACAACCACTTTGGACTTGTGCTTATGTAAACTCGATAATTAAATTTGGTGATCTCATGAGGATTTCTTATTTAAATATTTATGCTATGGATCCATAAATGAAACATAAGGCTAAATTTGTGGGGCCTCGTGTAGTGAAGTGTCCACTTGAGACCCAAATCCTGACACTCTCAAGTCAATATGAAGAGCACAGAAATCGTAGACAGGAAAACATAACTAAAATTCGCATTTATTTTTCGGTTTTTGCACAAAAACCTTGGAAAGAAACCGTGAAATTTTGTGACTAAATGAAAAATGGATTTATTTATGGTTTTTGGAATAAGTGAAATGATTGCTGCAATTTTCAGGTAGAACTATCAACCTGGCAATTAGATCAACCAGTCAATTAGCTCATTCATGTAACCAAGATGTGATTCTTTATTTTCGGAGGGACCCGCATTGTTTGGGTGGGTGGGTGGGTGGGGGGGGGGGGGGGGGGGNCGAACCATGTTTGCCCACTTACCTCTTAGTACGATATTTTCCAGTTCCCCCATGCTTTTAAGGGAAATGTCAACCTAAATTATAGACCCTGCAGCAGTCAACGATACAACGGGTGCTGAAATGGGTTTGCAATTCTGAAAAAACTCCCGTACCTTTATTAGGAGTTGCCTATCATTCCATTATTACTTTCAGCTTCAACTACAGACTATGAGGCAAATACTCCTGCATCCTTATTCGGATTTCGGTAGTAAATTATTTATAATAAAGGAAAGGGGTTTGCGATAGACTTACCTCCACGTGGTGCATCCTGGGCAACGTATACTCATACGGTAAAAAAGTCTGTAAACCGACAGTTGATTTCTGACTTCAAACTACTATCATCTCACTATATGTCATATTCGGCTACTTCCATAGTGCTCACCTCACCTTTTTCTACCATTGTGTCTGTCTGTCTCTTTTACATCTGTGAACCGCTCTTCTGTTCCCCCTCCCCTCTCGACTTTTTTCATTTTGATGTATCTTCCTCTCTGTGAAACCTGAAGTCAACCAAAGGGCTAATGATAACCATCAAAACGCCTGCAATTTGATATAATAATAATAAAGAAAAGAATTTGTAGCATTATTTACTTTGAAAGGATCTCATATATTCATCATAATTAGTGCGATTTACAATGAGGCAAGTTTTAGAACAACGAAATACCTCCAATGGGACATTTCGTAAGCTCGGAAAATAATTGCATTGAAGACAGCTAGTGTAGTTGTACTTGGAAGTCTGCAATATTTGCATCAATGACCTTAACGTTACTATAGAGACTTAAATTGAGGAGTTATGTGAAGTTTCCGAACTAAAAATTTACCATATTGTTTTAAATAAGAAGCCTGCAACGCCTAAGATTTCAAATTAGATCATTATTTCTACAAACAAGCTGATTTAGTATAAGTTAACCTATGAAAACAATATGATAAGTAATGACTAACACCCCATTGGGCTAATTTAGAAACGTGTCTATTCTGTCTTTTTTGCCTCGCAATCTGATCGCATTCACTAAATATCATTTAAAATCCACGTATTGCCCTAGAGTTTGTCAAAACTGCAGAAATAACGCTTTCAACAAGAAGTAATCGAAATCTTTTCATGTGCTAGTAACACGATCCCACAAATATGTCAAATATTACAGGTTAGATTTGCCCTGACTCACACCCAGTAAACGGAATAGTCAACCACACTGGGTAAAACTGGCTCCATGATCTCCGTTTCCTCCCAAAATGAGCTTTGGAAAAACCTTTCCTTAATTACTTTCTCAACAATAATTGTTATTACCAACGATATTGGTAAAATAATCGGCTGAACCCGAAAGCATGTATGAACAAGGACTTATCACCTCTAAATAGAATTAGAGCACTCAATTTACATGTGGCTATTACTCTGTCAACCATTTTTATACAAGGCCAAACCTGATTGGCTAGGACATGCGGTATGAGTGCGTCAGTCACCATTCAGGTTAAAACTTGTCTAAGCGGGTTAAACGATGCACTGGCAGCCATCTTGAAAGTTCTACCCCTGAGGCAATTATGGCTTATGAGGTACACAGGATATCACATCAGACTTGTGAAATTTGCGGTCTGTACTTGTCTTTAATGACGAAAATAAGCAGCATGTGCCCATATGCGTCACTTAAGGTTATCGTGATTAAAATAATCGGAAATTCGTCCCACTGACAAGTAATTGGCCGATATTTTTACACACACGCTCGTGACAGAATTATTAATTTAAAACGCCAAGCAAATTCGAATTAATGAAATGTTCGATTAGGTGAAGTTCGTAATCATTTTCAAGGTTATCACTAGCTCTATTCAGTGGAAAAAAATCTTCACATGCGCACGTTATAGACCTGCGCACTATGATCTAAGTGGACAATTCGTTAAGTTCGAAAATTAGAACAAAAAAATCACATGAAATAAGGCTGTTCTATACCCAGACGGTGTTCCCAACACAAACTACTAGCGAAAGGTCATCTTCGAAGACAACGTACTTGTGGAAACAGCGAACTCCAATTGCGTGGTAAGAATCAAGGCACTCATCAGGAAGGCTCCCCTGCATCGCAGCTCCCATCCTACATGGGAGTGCTGGACAACACTTTCCCATGTAGATTCACTTTTGAACTATCATTACCAAGTACAAACTTCCACAGTAAGTTTACATTTATTGGGGAGAATAAGGCAATGTATTAAGGAAGCTATAATCAGGATCATCAACAAAGTCCTCCGTCGTCTCTTAAAGGTAGAAATTTGTCAAAAGTTGCAGAAAGAAAAGGGGAACAGAAGAATCTACCATTCAATAATACTGAGTTGCTACTTCTGTTTTACAAGCATCGAAAACAACACCATAAGTAGACAAAGAGGGGAGGGAGGGAGGAGCGATGGAGAGGAGTGAGCGTACTTTAAATGAAAAGTTTGTTCAAGACCATAACTACTGCCAAAACAACGTAGAAACTATTCAAATTTGATGGTTGACCGACAAACTTGCGAAGTTTATCTAACGTGGTTGATATGGTATTGGGATCAATGGGTCTCGATCGCTGAAAATTGAAGTAAAGAAGTCAGAAAGAAATGAATTGCGAATTAGAAAAAAAGAGTCGCAAATTCCTTACTCGTTTTCCAGCAATACCGAGCTTGAACATCAGTTGAGTTAAACGCTGACTGGAAACATCGGTTGGTGGGAGATAGATTTTCCTAAGGGTACGCGTCCACCATACGTTTCTAAATAATTTGCATTAATTCAGTCAAATAAAGATGAGAAAATACACATTATAATTAGACTCACGAGGGGCTTGCAACCATTTTATAGTCGTATTTCTTAATTTGAATGTACTTTATGCCAGTTGATATACCGGTGTGAGCGATAAGAGGAAGGACTATAGAAAAGAATAGACATTCGATTATTAATTAGTACAAACGAGATTAAAGAACGATGATACCTAGAGTTGTGATAAGAACTAAACACAACTCAGGAAAAGTGGCAACAAACGCTGTGGGTTTTAAACGCACCAAGAGTAGGATAGAGCTTTATAGAGCAAGAATTGGATAAGGCGAATTTCAAGGGTAGTAAGAGAAACTTAAAACGATGGAAGGACTTACCTTCCTTTTGGCCGGTTAAGAGTCGATAGACAAGAGTTGCCAAAATAGGTGAGTTCTCGAATGATTTGTCCCCACTTAATGCAACTTCATAGTCCAGTATGGGAAAGTGGCCGGCTGTAAAGCGAAGAAATAGAAGTTAAAAGAATGGAAGTGGCTAAATGAGTTTTAAAAAACTTAAAGCAAGTTACGAATGAAGGTCGGCGCTTTTTCAACAAGACTTGGAATATGATGGAAAGCAACTTCTTTCCAAGGTCCTTTCTCGTCAACAGCACTCTCCAAAACAAGAGTTGTGCGGTGCTCACTAGGCTTCATCAAAGCATCCCCGCCTTTTCTAAAACAAAACGAGAGAATAATGTCTCATTGCACACCAAGTTTGCAAGAAACAAGTGTGAAAGGGAGCAGGAAATACCCACCGGTTGAAGAAACGATAGTCATTTGATAGACAGAAGGGTTTAAGAGTTTCTGAGAGCTCATGAGCAATGGGAGGCAATTGAACAACACTACCGGAATCCACAATACCAACGAACGGAGGCTGATAAATACATAATAAAACTTAAAAGAGAAAATTGGAAACTTTTTCTCACAAATGAGACTGCAAAAACTCACCAAAGAACCGAGGAAAAGACCAGTACCCAGGAGGGTGACAATAATAACACTGCAAAAATCTTTCATTTTTTTCTGGTAACTATTAGCGCTGAGTGCCCTGAAATTAAAAAAAAACGTAAAGGTAGTCACAAAATCCTATCAGGGGGTTTCGAGGCCACATTTCTAAAGCATGCATCAAAGGCTTACCTGCCAAGAGCAAGAATGACACTGAGAACGAACAGAGCGCATGCAACTGGAATGATGTATGTAATAGCCGTCTTTCCATGGGAAATCAGAAGACTTTGTGGAAAAGCTAAAAAATACGTTCAAAGCTAAAAAGAGGCACTCTTTCGAAGATACATTCAAGCATATAGCAATAAAAAATAAAGTAACTTTAAACTAAACATGCGTAAACAAGCAAGCAATGCAAAAAACGCCGCAGGAATAGCAATGATAGCAGATAATAGTACAACACAATTCAGAAGAGGATTGAGTTTGTTTATGGAAATTTACTTACTTAATCGAGCCTGTTCGACACCTTTTTCAAGACCAAAGAAAATATAAATCACATAGACCATCACTGAAATAACTGCCAAAGAAAGAGCAGCGGCAACGAGTTTGCGAAGAGTAGATCTTTTCTCTAAAAATAAGAATGGTAGTAAAAACAATAGGAGGAACATACTAGATCTTCTCTTTGGTTGTGGAAGAAGAGCAAGGCTCAAAACCAAGAGCAGAATGCTGTAAATATTGTCGTTATCAACCATAACAAAGTTAGCATGATAGATGAACTAAAAAGGAAAAAAACTTTTCATTATAGTCAAAGGTATTTCAGTTGCTAACCAGATACTTACGTTGGCAAAAAAAACGAAGTACTTAATTTCGCAGATAGGCATAAAGTATAGGAATGGTACGAAGATTTTCATGGAAATGATTAACATCGTAAGAGCACGGAGAATCGAATTTGGTAGAAGTGGTAGATACCAAGAAGCATAAGTTGGCGAAATCTAAAATTCGAAAAAATATGCAAAATAGGACTTAAACTCGTATTTTAAGGTAGGACTAGGACAATTACACGAGGTAAGAAAAAAGTATTCATAGCAGATAGATCATGTCGTGGAAAATTGGAATCGGAGAGAGCAGCGAATCCGCTTGAAATTGATTCACGGAAAAGAAGCCATTTAAACAGCCATAATGCTACTATTGAGGAAGATAAAGAATTTCTTCGAAGGGAAAATAGGTATAGGAAGCAAAGGAAACCAGATTCAATGAGAAGGGAAGTCCATTTCCACTCAGTCAAACTTGGACAAACCTATAAATTTATCACGCGCATGAAAGCAAAGAAGAAATTACCATCACAACAGAGACATAAAGCACCCATTGCAGGAGCATTGTAAAGGAGTTACAGAATGCGGAGACAACCGTAGACAGGAAAGCAAGAACCAGTCCAAAGACAACAAGAAACTCGGTAGCATGATACTCGCTTAGTTGAATACTAGAGCGATACCTGACAATTGAAGGAATGCCAAGAAAGAAGTCATCGAGTGTTTTTGGCATATTCAAATTTAAGAGCCTGACCGGCGCAACGCCATCATCACCGATGAGTCCTAAATTATTTTTAAAAAATATACAAAATTAAGTTTACCTGGAAGTTGGATATAGAGAGATCCAAATGCCAGAAAGAAAACAAAACTTATCCCCTTTGCTAACAGACTCGGAGACATGTTAAAGTGAGAACGTCAGCGCACACTAACACTTCAAATATCACGACACTTTTGCATTCAAAATTTCTTACTTTAATATGATTAATTTTCCTATTCTTATGGTATCAAAAACTCAATATAATTTTTACATGACTATCTAATGAGTCTAATATTAATCAAAACGTTTATCGCTGCATATAATGATTAGGTTTACAGTATAAATTTAGCCTCACCAATGCTTATAATAATGACCAGTTTTTCGTAAACGCTGAAAAAGTAATCCTGCTCTAAGTGGTTCATATTAAATTAATATAATGACCAACAACTAGATCAAATTCTATTTGAATGTTTGCTTTGGAGCACTATATAAAGAGAATTCACGCATATTAATTATGGTTCCATGACTTTCTATCTTTCTAGTCATCGTACTTTCAATAAAGCAACTGAAATACCTGAGCTAATGACAATAGTATTGTACAGGTCCATGTTGCCTCCAAACAATATATATTTTCAATCTTCAATATATGAGACATTGAGGCGGAATAAGTGGTTCAATTAAGTATTTTGATATATTAGTAAGAAAACAATTATTCATGTCCTGAAAACCACAGTATTTAGAAATTGATGAATTTATAATTAAAAAATGACACCAAGCGAATAACAAATGAATACAATCAATGCTATGTTTGAACTATGATGATAGTTAAAAAAAAGATATTATAAAAGGGTGTGAGCAAAAAAAGTTCATTTCAAATATTTCGTTAATTCATTATCATAAATTGTTATCTCATCGAAATGTTCCCTATATTACTAAAAAATTGAAATTTTAGCGCCACCCAGACCATTAATTTTATTTGCAAGGTTAAAATAGAGGACACGAAATGTATTAACTCACTAAATCGATCGCAGAGATTCAAATTCGTTGCCTCTCAGTTTAGACCAAATATGTAACTTTTAAGTATTCAAGAGATTATACCACTTTATTTGTAATCCTTATTCCACAAGCAAACCGTTACATTTCCAACTCTATTGACTACATTGACATCTGAATTGCTGTATTGACACTCGATCTCAGCTAAATCCCTATTCATTATTATTCCAGATCATTGCCATTTTTATCCTTATAACATCTTATAGACGATTGAGACAGAAAACTAAATCACTGAAACGTCTCTTAGTACAAATAAAAAATTTGTTTTTCTTGAAGAAGTTACTGTTATTAAGTTATGATGAAAGCAATGCCGTAAATCTGTACCTTACGCTTTTCAAATTTCTAAATTTTATATTATTATAAATTCCTTGTCATTAAACATTTATGAAATCATTGCAATCTCAATATTTCAACATATAAATAGTATAAAATTGAGAGAACTATTTATGTAGTGAATTAGGATATGGCTCATAAAAGGTTTGGATACAGTTAATAAGAATTCAAACTTATTTAGTCGAATTCATTTAAAATTTGTTAACTATAAGAACTCAAATATAAAATTATTGAAATTAATGCATAATTCAGCTCAAATTTTGTTTTTATTTTGGTTCGTTAATATGTATTTAGAGTTTGAATTGTTTTAACTGTTTGTAAAATTTCCAAAGGCACCCTTTGCGCAAAGTGCGATTTTCAAGGTTGGTAGTGTTTTGAATTTTGACTTGAATGTGTGCGGGTTTGTTACGTAAATTGAATTGGCATTAGTTGAATAACTATTGCGCCTTTTAAGCATCATCACGATTGTTTTCAACTGGAAATTGTGCTCTTACTCTTTATTTTATTTCAAGTCAACCCAATTCATTCTGAAAATTGCTAACATGAACCTACCAAATGGTACATGGAATCAAGATGGTTCTCCTGCAGCTACTGATGGGTTTAACATTCAAACCACCTCAACCGTTCACTATCAATCTTCAGATCAATTTTTACCCAATTCTATCGGTAGTGGTGCTTATTTACTACGCCATTTTTTCTCTTTGAACTTGATTTAAATCCAATCCTTCATTTGATTGTGCTATGCAAAGAGAAATTTACAATTTTTATTTTTTATAGAAGTTTTAAATTTTAATTAAATCAGCGTTGTCTAAATTGTTCAATTTGAAGCTAAAATTTTCGAACCCTACTTTTTACGGCTTCGTAGTTGTTTTCATTGTCGGATTTCTGATTTGTTATTTTGTCTATGGATATCATCTTAATCTTTGTTTTTTTTCGGAACTTGTTTAGCTCTCGCCTCCCCCTCCGCGCGCATGGTATGTATAATGTTGCTTTTCAGTTATTCATTTGAAAATCAATTTATCGAACTTTCATTTAAGGAATTCTCTCGAGATCAATCAGCAGTCAATTGGCCCGGTGGAAATCTTAGAGGTATGAGGCTACATTCTTATAAAACTTAGTAACTCCTAAAATTTGGTCTCTAATTTTTATTTTATTATTTTGACAGATATAACAAATAATTCTGTTCGATACTCATCTTCGCAACCCGATGGGCCCATCCCAAGTGTATGTTTTGCTATTCTAATTGGACCTAGTTCTCTAACTCATTATTGGTCATTTCTTATCCATGCTGGCTTTGAGAATCAACCATTAAGTGGCATTTTTTGCTTTTAGAATTGAAAAAAATTGTAGAAACTTTGTGAGTCATTTTTTTAGAAGTTGACGTTAGAATGTTTGGTTATGGAGATTTATCACGTTTCTTGTGGTAATCTTCATTTAATAATTTCCCGCTTTTTTCCCGTCATTATTGAATCAACAATTTCATTTCTTTAAAATGAAGTTTGAAGCTTTTGATAGCCTCGCCTGGTTCATCTAGAGTTTTGCTGATCCTTCATTTGCTGTGATCGATTTTTTGGACTAATTTTGAAACATGTCTAGTTTTGTACTTGCTATTTTCCAGTATCTTCAGAACTGGATGTGTATGTATATCTATATCATTTAGTATCATATCTGAATCGTTTTTTGATGTTCAAGCGTATATTCCTTTCAGCGGACATTGTTCTTGGATTTGCTTCCATTTATTGAATTTTTCTTGACAAGGTTCTATGTGTTATTTGGTTTTGGAATTCGACATCAATTACTTTGAATTATGAATTGAGCTGGGTGGACTTTTATGTTGAATATGTTCATTAAGTCGGTCGTTGGGTTCAGTAATTTTTTACTTCTTTTGCAGCATTAAAGTGTCTCATTTGGTTTTGGAATCTTTTAGTATCTTATCTTTTTCCAACAAAATGCTTTTGTTCAGACTAGTTTCTACAACTTGACTCTTATGTGTGTTCTTAGCTAATGAATCGGTGAAATGGTCCATTTTATTTTTTTCATTGGACATTTCTACTGTGAGTTTCTTAATCATTATTCAAAATCTATACAATCAACGTAGAGCCTTACAGGCAAGTATTTGGGATCGTTAAAGGGACCGGATCTTAAAATTTGGTTTGACGTTTGCTCGCCTCCAACATTTATCTGACTTTATATTAACCGAATTGAATTGCTTCCCATAATTAAAGTTTATATTTTTACATTAGGTGATAATACTCCTTATAATGATACTGATAGGCAGGTCTGATTGGTTAATATGTCCTTTGGTTATTTAAAAGTTCGTTGATAGGTAGACTTTGAATTTTACTTTACAGTCTACGTTTGTCGGTTTATGATTCACGTAGGCCATTTGGAGGTTTATTTAGAATCATTGAAAATCTATCATTGATTTTTTCCCCTTTTAAAGCTGGCAGTAAAAATACAGGTTTTCTCATTGGTTTAGATAAGTTTGACAATTTGCATGGCTATGTACATTCACTTGCCTTCTCTTTATGGAGATTCAAGCCTTTTCGTTGTCAGTCTTTTCTAGATTATTTGAAGAGGTGCATATTTCATCATCTACCTCAGACAGAAGTGTATTCTCTATTGTTCATTTCTTTCCCTCTATGTAAGGTTTACGGAACATGGCTTTTAAGCCTCATCATTTGTCGCACGTTGAGAATTTTCTTATCCATGTTTGCTCTTTGTTGAAAACCTAAATTTATTTTAACACTGTACTATTCCTCAAAATAAGTAGCATTTGTCTTTTACCGCTTGATTACTCCAAGTTTCAAGTTAATATATTCTTCATTCACCAGTAACGTACCTATTTTCCTCTAATGACACTTCGTTATAGCGGTACGCATCTAAAGCAGGTAACTATCGATTAAGTCTTGAGTACTTCCCCTGCCCCCAAATTGAGGGAGGCGATAAATGCCACAGATTTATCCCCCCCCCCTTTCTATCCCCTGCTTATTCGTTGTTTTTCAGCCAGGGATTGAGTTAACGAGTATATATGCGTATAGGCACACATTGAGAGAGTATATCCACTGTTGTATCCTGAGAGCCTGGCCATCTGCTACCAGTTTATGACGATCACATCGAGTTTAGCCGTCTTTCTTCTTCTCTCCCACCCTGTTTTAGGAGCAATAAGAAATAGGTGGAGAGCGAAGAGAGGGTCTTATCTGTGCCAATGTGACTGTTTACCCTTCATTTCCTACTCATATTCCACCCCCTCCCCCCACCTCCTCGCCATTATATCGCCCTCATATTATTCGACAAGGTGGGTTGGGGCGTGGGCTATCGGACAGCGTTCCCACCCTCCTACATTAAGACGCGGGGGAGGGGGGGGGGAGACTGTGTGCTCTGAGAAAGGGGTCTAAGTATACGTGTTTGAGATTTGCCTACCTATTTTATTGATTGGCGGCGAATTGAGCGTCTGATTTTCCGTTGTCTGTATGTGGGAGAATTCAGCTTCCAGATGAAGGTATTTGTTGTCAGTTTTGAAAGTCAAAGTCAATTTATTTAACTAAATACCACTGTTAGTAAATATTAAGGAAGATAAAGTATGAAGATGACTTTCTTGAAAGTCTAGGCTGCCTCGAGTTGGAGTTGCCTTTCACATTTCTCTTTTCTTAACATCTTCAGAATGTTCGTGGACTATTTCTTTTGTAGAACACTTCTTGGCTATATGTGAGCATTGTCGTGATAGTAGTCGAAAAAATAGTTTCTGATCGGTTTC